ACAGCTAAAGCCCCCAAAGACCCCAGACTTCAGTGAAAACATCAACTAATTTTAAAATACATTGCAAGCATGAACAATGCCTGAAGCAACAAGATGCAAAAACAGCAACCTCAAAACATAAGGGGGTCAGATACCAAACCCATACACATCGCACATACACATCGCACATACACATCGCACATACACATCGCACATACACATCGCACATACACATCGCACAAGGAGCCAGCGGGCTCTTTGCACCCCTTTCTCATGCTCGCTCAATTTCCTTTGTCTGTTTCCTTTGCCTGTGCAGCTTTGTACCTTCCTTCCTCCTGCTGTTGCTGCTGCCTCCTTCGCATCAATCATGCATTCGGAACTTATGGCCCTCCACGTCCTCGTCCTCATCCTCGTCTCATACCACCGTGCGCGAGCACACGCACGAGTGCGCACACGTGGCGCTACCCTCACCGCTGGCGCTCCTTCCGCCTCCTCCAGCTAGTGCCGATGCTCGCAGTGTAGGGGCGCGTGTGTGTGTGTGTGTTGGGGAGGGTGATGAGGGGGGAAACATGTGTGTGCCCTGTACGCCACTTACCACTTCCACAGCATCTTCACTCCCCCAACACCATCACTCCCCCAACACCACCTCGCTAAATTCCCCCTAACCCCTCTCGCCCACACTCCCTTGAAGCACCTCCGCGATGTTCACATTGCGATCGAGTAAGGTATCGCCAGAGTGGTCATTTCCTCTGTGAGCGTGTGATGTCTCTACCCCCTTGCCCCCCTGCCGGCCTGCCTGCCGGTCTGGCTGTCTCAGCCCCTCAGCGCCGCCGCTGCCGCCACCAGCAGCCACCACCCAGCCGCCAGCAGGTTCCTATCCGTCACGGCCCGTAGAAAGCGCATCACCGCGGGCAGCAGCCACCTCTCCCCCGCCGCCCCGTTATCCACAAACCAGAACGGCCGCGGGTGGTACTGCCAGGGGCCGTGAAGGACCGACTTCTGCGGGTAGTCGAGCAACAGCGTGTTGTGCACCACCCCCACCCCGCTGCCAATGTCGTGCGGGGTGTTGCCTGGATAGGCGCCCCAAGTAAGGCCCGTCTGGCCGAAGGACACGACCAGAGGGGTGTTGATGGCGATACTGCCGTACCGTAGCGACGCGAGGAAGTCGTCCCAGGCCTGCGGGTGGGCGGCCTGCACTCGGGGATGGCAGATGACCCCGGCAGCTAGGGAGCCGAAGATGTGGGTGCTGACGGCGTGGGCGGCTGCCCGCATGAAGCGCTCCGGGTCGCCGCCGCAGCCGGGGAGGGCCACCTCCTGCTCTCGTGGGTGGGGGGGTGGGTGGGGGGAGGGGGGAGGGGGGCCCGAGGGGGGGGAGCGGTTGGTCAGGAGGAAAGGTGGAGGTGGGGGGGTGCGGAGGTGGTCTGGTCTGGTGTTGTCCTCCGGCTGTCCCGGGGGTTTGCATCATGGGGGGGGGGGG